CCTGGTTCCTCCGGTTTGTATCCCGGTAAATAGTTCTGGTCGTAAAAAACCGGGTGATTTGCTACCGTAATATCTCGTTTGGAATATGAGGAAATGAACTGCGGTCTGGCTCTCCCAGCTTGCACGCGGTTTGATTGGCTAGCGCTTGCACTGGCGGGATTTGCATAAACGGGATTTGATTGGCTGATGCCAAGCATCGAGCCTCAAAAGTTGAACATTGTTCAACTTTTGATGCCGATAGATGTTCGTGATGCTTGCAAAGCCATGCTCCCCACAATGCAGTTCGGCGAAGATTAAAAATCTTCTACGTCACCCCATTCAAGTGAATGGGAGAAGCGTTGAAAGCATTTTTCGATGCCTGTAGTGTAGACGGGCCATTTGGCAACAAATAGCCTAGGCATGGTAAAATACAGCTAAAACCTAAGATAAAGAAAAGGAAAGGCAAAACAGTAGCAAACTAATCCTAAAATAAATGGAGAAAGGAGATTGGAAATTGTATAAAGATTTATATGAATATCCTTCAATGGACATCCAATTAATCTCCTACCTCTGATGCAAACGCATCCACTCAAATATCACCTCACTGGACACCTCCGCAACGTTGATTCTCTACACAGTCTCTGCTGGGGCTGTCAAGAAGCCCGGCGTTTACAGGCCACATGTTAACATTTTAGTGGTACACTGAATGTTACAAGTCCTAACAGCAGCTTCACATACCTCGTATAGGGGGAATACACGCCTATCAGCCAGACAACGATGACCGGAACAAGAACACACTCGTAATAGTCACAGCTGATTTGGGTGAGGTATCAGTGGGCATTTAAAGTGTAGCAGGAGATGCTGAACTACGTACAGCTGCGGCGTTTTCCTTATATGGAAGGGCCAGCTGACTAAATGGGGGGGGTGGGTTGGTGTGTCTTAAAGGGGCAGTGGAGGCCCAGCCACTTAAAAAAATGATCTGACAGCTAATCCAGAAAACAGTAGCGCCGGCTACACAAGCAAACAGAACCTAAATACACACAGACTAATAAAACCAACAAGACACAGGTGAGGGGGGAGGAGACAACACAGGGCACCAGGTGGCCACAATCACCAGTAGCAGACAAGACGGGAGGGGGAACACTTTTCAAAATAAAACAAGAAACAGAGACAGACAAACTAAAACATAGACAGATCGTGACAAATAGATGCATAAATTACATGTATATTCACATTCTTCCTGTGCCATGTTTTAGTGTAGACCAGATCAATATACTTCGCGAAATATGAAGCTATATTATCCGTAACGGAGGCCGAGATCTATGGCCCCAGAGATCACCTCCGTTACAATCCTAATACTGTTTCCATGCTGAGCTGAAGGATAGGATAGGATAAATATAACAAATTAGGAAACAAGTGCACTCAAATATAGAAGAAAGAAAGATAATATTTGATCAAATGTAGGCCTACTCGAAAAATAAGGGAGACCGACCCTGAGTAACAATCCAGAGGGAACAAGGAAACGTGATGACAGAAGATAAGGTCAACATGTTTTAAAAGGGATTCACAAATCGAAAAGTATATCATTATCACATGCTATATACAAGACTTATTTTTATTTTAAGACTTAGAGAGTGCCGACTGCAGAGAATAGAGAAGGGTAACGTTCAAAGAAAGATTCCTGGATGACCCATATTCTGTAAAACTGTCTTCATACTGCAGTACCGCTTTATAACACTAGATAGAGACAAAGACAAAGCTGCTGTCCCTGTGACATCTGACTTTCCTTCAACAGGTGCGTGTCTGACATTTTCATCATTAGGCTACATCGTGTGTGTTCGTACATTCTTGGTCCTGCTAGCTCAGATCTTCAGGTGTATCCTCAGTGCTTCCTGCATCATGTGGAGCCTGTGAGCCCTGCTGAGACCAGACATGTCTGGAATACATCTCTCTGGGTACAAGGTGAAGACCGCCTGCTCAGAACGGAAAAGTCAACCATGTCTGACATTTTGTTTTTTAAAGAAGCACGCATGTCTTATTTGCTAGCAAAATCTGCTAGAAATAGGTTTTAAAGTAATAACGTAAATGTGCTACTGCTTCATTTTCTACAAGCAGCGTGACTAAATAGCATCTTCAAAAGTGTCTGTAATAGCATCATATTTGTTTCTCTACTGACCTATTTCGAAAATATATCCTCTTTTATTACTAAAAGCAACTGGACTCATTTATTTAAATACCCAGCTCTTCTTTTTTCTACCTTCTTTTTCTCAGTGTATCCCTGCCTGCGACGTGTTATTCATGTCAATAGCTACAGACCTGTCTCTCTTTAGTTTCATCATCACAGATTAGACGCCCTTGTGTTTTTACATCTATTAGACGCACTTAGTGATGCATGCCAGTCATTTGAAAGACCCAAAATAGCCCTCCTGTCGACTTTAAATGACCATTATTAAGGTTTTACATAAACAGGTGATGAGGGGGGGGGGGGTTGGAAGTTGATTGCAGCTTCTATTTATTCTCAATATGATTAATACCCTTTTTTATCTCTGCAATAGGGTCCCTGAACACACCGCCTCGTGACGCTGTGGGGGGCGAGTTTTGTTTGCAGTCTTGATCTGTATCCGTGTGTCTTGTCTGAGCCTTTTAAATATATAAAATGTTATTTATAAAAGATATAAAATAGCCCACTAGTATTTAAAGAACTTGAAGTTAGCACCACCTCCAACAACAACAATATAAAAACGTATTATGTGAATAACTATATTTGATATATATTCTTACTTTACTTGAACTTCCTGTTATACAAAACTATTTTTTAAATCTTTTTATTGCACATTTCTGCTTGGAATTCTTATTTTCATACAGATATTTTTCTATTAATTTATCTTATATTTTAACCTAAAATGAAGTGTCTGTCACGAAAACTATTTGTTGTTTTAATTTAATATTTAATTTAATATTTTGTGTTAATTTCAATGTATCTTAAATTGGGCGTTTTACTTTGTTTGTATAAATATTATTATTTTATCTTTTTATTGCGTATGTCTATTTGAACTTTATAAGCGTTTTATAAATGTTTTATTACATTTTTTATTAATCCATCTTTTATTTTATATTATTCAGTAGAGGAGTAGAAAACAACATTTTTTCCCAGGGG